TTGCACATTGATGAGAAATGGTTCTTTATGTCAAAAACTTCCCAGAAATTTTATCTCCTTCCAGAAGAGGAAGATCCATACAGAGCATGTAAATCAAAAAGATTCATAGCAAAAGTTATGTTCTTATGTGTGGTTGGGAGACCACTTTTTGGGGAGAATAAAGAACTGTTGTGGGATGGAAAAGTAGGGATATTTCATTTCACAGAAAAAATGCAGGCAAAAAGGAAGAGCAAGAACAGGGAAAGGGGGGTGGTAGAGGTGAAAGCAATCACCAGTGTTACCAAACAAATCACAAAGGAAATGCTCATCAATACAGTAATTCCAGCTATCCAAGAAAAGTGGCCATCACAGTTATCCAAAATCATACAGATTCAACAAGACAATGCAAGGCCACACATTCAAGGAATAAACACAGACTTTGTGGCAGCAGGTAACAGCAATGGATTTCAGATCACCCTATGTAACCAACCCCCCAACTCCCCAAACTTAAATGTCCTAGACCTTGGATTTTTCAGAGCAATTCAATCTTTAAAAGACCAGTGTGCTCCAAGTACAGTAGCTGAACTATTAGATGCAGTAGAAGGAGCATATAATGCTTTAAGTCCAGAAACCCTAAACAAGGTGTGGTTGAGTTACCAGCAGGTTTTAACTAAAATCATGGAACATGAAGGAGGCAACAACTATAAACTGCCACATATGGGAAAAGACAGACTAGCAAGGGCAGGGACACTGCCAGATTCCTTGAGCATAGACATAGGCTTAATCCAGAAGACATCAACACTGTTGGGAGAACAGAATGGGGCTATCAATGCAGACATGGTTGAGTTCAACAATGAAGAGGGTGATGAGTACTTCTCTTTAGAGTTGAACTGAATCCAATGTTGTAAGCATCAATGGTTTTTGGGTTTTTTGTTTTTTGTTAAGAGGTAACCAGATTATGTAACTGGTACCCACATTAGGTAGATTGTTTTTTTTGGTTTTTGCACCTGCTTATACACTGCTATATATGTACTCACATCAAGGTAACTACACACAATCTACTCTAAATGTAATTTTGTTCACATATAAACAACAGCCAACATATCAGTCTCAAAAACATATCCCACATCATCATTGCTGACTTTAGTACTCAGAGGCATATCCCACATCATCATAGTACTTTTGGTCTCAGACAATGCTAGTAGCAGTCTTCATAGACATTGGCCAAGGCATTTACACATTGCAATTAATTAGCACACACTTTATTCTCAGGGCACATCCATTGGTACTCAGATCCATTTCCAGATATGCAAATGGCTCATCACAGTACACATTTAACAGATTCATACAAAATGATCACAGTACAGACTTAACATATTCATAAGAAAATGCTCATCACAGTACACACTCTCCACTTAAGAGAAGCACAGATTTGAAATTCAATTCAGAATAAAATCAGAAAGAATTAGAGTGAAAGGAAAGG